AGGCATGCTGGCTCATCCATTACCCATCATCCCAGCACTCGGGAGGCACAGGGGTTTCCATGAGTTTGAGCCCAGACTAGCATATGTAATGAGACCTTGTCCCCAAAAAGAAAAGAGTCAATGTGAACAAAGTCAGTCTTGTACCTGAAGGAAAGGAACATCAGACAAATGTCTGCCTTCAAAAATGGCCAGCATTCAGCTGGGCAGTGGAGATGCAGGCCTTTAATGTCAGCACTTGGGAGGCAGAGGCAGGCTGATCTCTGTGAGATCAAGGCCAGCCTGTTCTTTTTTTTTCTTCTAAGATTTATTTATTTATTGTGTATATGAAATATACACAGTGTTCTGCCTATAAACCAGAAGGGGGCAGCAGATCTCATTATAGATGACTGTGAGCCGTCAGGTGGTTGCTGGGAATTGAACTGAGACCTTTGGAAGAGCAGCCAGCACTCTTAGCCTGAGCCACCTCTCCAGCCCCAAGGACAGCCTGTTTTACAAAGGAGTTCTAGGACAGTCAGAGCTTCACAGAAAAGCCTTGTGTCCAAACAAACAGAAAAACTGGCCAGCATTCTTTCCTATGGCCTAAACTGCATTCACAAAGGTTTTGATGCCTCCTACATCTGAAGGAAATAAAACTCATTTATTTATTTATAAACTCAGGGCTCACCCAGGGCCACCAGATTCCGGTAGTTCTCCAGCATCACGTCTCGGTAGAGGGTCTTCTGAGCTGGGGTCAGCTGTGCCCACTCCTCTCTGGTGAAGTCCACGGCCACATCCTGGAATGTCAGCAACACCTGGAACAGCAAGCACACCCCTTCTTGCTCACGCCTAATTCGACAGCCACTCCCCCCCCCCCCCCCCCCCCCCCAGACATGGTCTCTCTGTATAGCCTTGGCTGTCCTGGATTCATTTATAGACCAGGTGGCCTCAAACTCACAGAGATCCACCTGCTGCTGCCTCCAGAGTGCTGGGATTACTGGCATGTACCACAGTTACAGGCTGAAAGCCATTCTTTTTAAAGTGAAGGTCATTTATTGAGTTACTCCAAATTATTTGTTTCCATAGAGACAATGTCTTTGGGCACTTGCATCTCCTCAGCTGACACAATACTTAGTTATATTCTAGAATTGTAACAATAGGCTCAAACAGGGTTTTGAAGCTTGCTTTCAAGTGTGTCTCTGTGTGTGTGCATGCACATATATGTTCATGAGTGTCCAGGTGTACTTATGCCCCATCAGCATGCTACTGTATGGCAGTTTCCTCTCAATGGAAACCTTTTCTCCAGGAGGGAGGGAGAGGCTGGTAAGACTCAGCAGATAAACAAACCATCCTATGGCTAGGAGACTAGAAGCCTGGAGACTTCTCTAGGGCCCCTCCCCCACTGTGAACGAGGAGACAAGTGTGGGTGGAGAAGACCACCCAAGTGCAGAGGGAAGTTCCTGGACTGCTGGGCTCCCTTCCAGCTGTGCTCCCTTCCAGCTGTGCTCTCTTCCAGCTGTGCTCCCTTCCAGCTGTGCTCCAGGACCAAGCCTTCCTGAGCTGTCAGCCAGGTCAGAGTGGGCTCTTGACATGGCTGCTTCTGTGTCATCCTTGCTTTTTATAAACAACCCTCATCTAGTCAGGCAGTGGCGGCACACGCCTTTAATCCCAGCCTTCAGGAGGCAGAGGGGGAGATCTCTGAGTTTGCGGCCAGCCATGTCTACAGAGTGAGGTCCAGGAGATCCAGGACTACACAGAGAAACCCTGCCTCAAAAATCCAAAGAAACAAAAACAAAGAAGTAACCCCCCTCTGTACTCCTATTAGTAATCCCAATAAAAACACCGGTTCTCCAAGGTGGGCGTCAGTACTCTGCCTCTCTGGGCTGCCGGGGCTTCACTTTAGATGTGTGTTCCATCTCTCCAGGATGTGTCACCTACTATCGTAAAGGTCAGGGGACAACTTCCCATTGTTTTTCAGGCACCGCCACTTTTTCTGTTTCAGACAGGTCCCTCACTGGCCCTGGCACTTCCTAGTAGACTAGACTGGCTGTCCAGTGAGCTCCAAAGATCTGCTCGCATGTGGCTCCTCAGCACTGGGCCGCCATTCCTCGCACGTGTGTATGTAAACTTGTGTGTATATGTGATGCACATGCGTATATACATGCGTATGTTTGTGTGCTTGTGCAGGCGTGTACATGTGTGCACGGGGAAATGCACATGTGGCCGTGCGAGAGCTTCAGACGTCCGTCCCCACAGCGCCTTTTGTTTGCTGCTGCATGCACCAGGCTGGCTGGCCTGAGAGTCCCAGGGGTTCCTCTGTCTCTGCCTCTTCTTGCCCTAGAAACCCTGGGATTACAGATGTGTGCTACCACAGCTGGCTTTCACATGGCTCCAAGGGATCTGAATTTAGGCCCTTAATCTCAGACAACAAGCGCTGTGTCTGTTGGGCCCATGTTCCCAGCCCATGCCTGGGAATTTTTTTTAACCTTGATTCTGGGAATCAAACTCAGTCCTCATGCGTGTCAGGCAGGCAGTTTACTGACTGAGATATCATCCTAGCCATTCTATAATAGATTTTTACCCCAACACTGCGGATTGAACGCAGGGCCTTGTGCATGGTATGGTAGACAAACATTTTTTCTGGATTTACAGTAGATTTTTTAAAATTTGTTTTTATGTATGTGGGTGTTTTCCTTGCATATTTGTCTGTTTACCATGTGTATGCAGTGCCCACAGAGGCCAGAAGATGACACTGGGGCCTTGAGTTACAGACATAAGCTGCCATTTAGCTGCTGGGAATTGAATCCTGGTGCTTTGCAAGAAACAAGTGCCTTTAATGGCTGAGCAATTTCTCCCTACAGAAATAGCATTTCAGAGGAGAAGAAATTAAATTTACCTGGCACTCCCCTATCTGGAACCCATCATTCACTTCTTTCTCTTTCATCTTCTTTTGGGAAAAGGAAGTATCCTGAGAGGGTATAAGGAGGAAAGAGAAAAACATTGTTAATATATGGCATTAAAGAAGAATTTAGCAGGTTATGGAGGTGCATGCTGGTAGGATTTACTGATGGAGGCGGAGGCAGGAGGATCACAAGTTTGAGGCCACCCTGGCCTAAAATTTAGAGCCAGTCACAGTTGCACATGACTGTAATCCCAGCAATCTTGGAGGCAGAGGCAGGAAAATCTCTGTGAGTTCAAGGCTAGCCTGATATACAAAGTGAGTCCAGGACAACCAAGGCTACACAGAGAAACCCTGTCTTGAAAAAAGAAGTGGGGGGGGACTGGGGAGATAGCTCAGAGATTAATAAGACTGGTTGTTTTTTCAAAGTTCTGAGTTCAATTCCCAGCAACCACATAGCGGCTCATAACCATCTATAGTAAGATCTGATCCCCTCTTCTGGTTTGCAGGCAGGAATTCAGGCAGAATGCTGTATAAACAAATCACAAAACAAAACAAACAAACAAACAAACAAAACTGAATTTAAATCTTGGAAGATTCTGCTGTCGCAGACAATATACAGAGAAGCACCAAAGACACAAGCTTAAAAGTTAGACAATTACAACATCAGTTTCTCTGTATTTTTTTATCTTTATGTGTGTGTTGCCTGCCTGTGTGTACATGCACCATGCATGTGCCTGATGACCTTACGTCCACTGAAACTATAGATCAATGTGGTCTGCCATGGGGGTGCTGGGGACCAAACCCAGGGTCCTGTGCAAGAGTAACAAGTGTCCTTAACTGCTGAGCCATGACTCCAGCCCTGGGTGATCTCTTTGAGGAGGGTCCTGTGAAGTAGAGTCTGGCCTAAGACTTACTATGTCATCAAGGAGAACCTTGACCTCCTGATTCCCGTCACTACCTCCGAAGTCCCGAGGTCACACCACGCTAGCTCACACTTGCTTGTCCATTACCTTGGGTAACTGTATGGAGGACTTTTTGTGTGGTACAAATATTTCCATTGTCTCAGGTGAGAAGTGTAATGGTTTTCAGCCTGTTTAGACACTTGGGGAAACTGAAAAGATACTGAGGCTCAGCTCCTGCTTTCAGAGACTTTTATTGAATTGGAGTGTGCTGGGCCTGGACAACAGTGTTTAATTTTCTTGTTTTAAATGTAAATTTTTTATTTTTGCTTTTTTGGGACAGGTTTTTTTTTTTTTTGTGCAGCTCTGGCTTTCCTGGAACTTGCTGTGTAGACCAGACTGGTCTCAATTTTACAGAGAGCCACCTCAACCACCGAAGCCTAGGATTACAGGAGTGCACCACAGGCTTTTAGATTCCCCATTCGGGAAGTTAGGAACATCATGGCTTGCTCACAGGGTTTTGAAAAGCTACTGCAGTGTGCAAACACACCAACACACTGGTCACATCAGAGTCTCTCCAAACGAGGCAGGAGACAGGGAAGAGAAGCAGTTAAGGCACCAGTCAGGGCGTCTCTGACCTAATCTGGAAACTCCCTTGCTGCGGATCACAGATGCTCTACAGATCAAAGCTCTGCTACTTACAGGTGCCCCACAGATGACCAGATGACAAGCCTGTAGGCTTATAGATTTTTCCAAAATCTAGTTTATTTAGGGTTCTTACACACTTTTACCTCCCTTCCTAACCACTGAGCAGAGGTAGGGAAGAAATAAGATTATTAGAAAAAGGGGATTGTGGACCTTTTTAGACGTAGTTCCTTGGGCGTGAGTCAACTCTTCGTTGTCCAGATACCAGCAGTCCAGTCCAAAATCCAACACCAAACAGCAACAAGAATCAGCAGGATTCAGCAGAAAAAGCAAGACTCCACGAACTGGAGTCAGCGACAGGCACAAGTACCAATCAGATTGTCATGAGAAGTTCTTTGCTCTGGAGCATTTCTCTCCAACGTGAAGTGCAGAAAAGCGAAGACCAGCAAAGCGATGTGCACCTCACAAAAAATATCGATGGAAAACCAATGTCTCCTCCCTGTCCGTGGGCTTCTATTTACCGGAGTCCAAGCAGGGCTGTTTTTCCAGCTGGCGAAAGCCACGCCCCTTGCACAGGACAGCTTCCTGCAAAACATCACGCGCTCTCACAAGTCGGTTTTCAGCTGACCTAGATCATGTGCCCTCTAATGAGTTTCTTTTTTTTTCAACTGATGAACTAAAGACATTTCGTTACACAAGTCACCTTATTTACCCTTTCCCCACTATTCTTAGTGCTGTAACCAGTTAAAAACACCTCATCCTTGCCACTTGAATAGTGTCCTTTCTTTCTGGAACTGGTCTCTGCTCAGGGAGTTTTTCTAATAATGGGTGAGGTTTGAAGCGCTTAACGTCCGAGTCTGCGGGGGTTTATTTCTTGTCGTTAACACAACATTGATTGCTGCTTGCTGCCAGCCTTGATTCCAGCCATTACAAGCTGCTGCACACATTTTACAGGCTGATCCACAGCTCCGCTAAGCACGGCAAGACAGGGACGAGACTTTGACTCCAGCTTCCGTACAGGAACAGGGAGACTTTGACTCGCAGCTATATTGGAAATCAGTGGCTGCCAAAAGCACCGCGCCTCAGGGGGACTGACAGGAGACCCAGCCCAGCGGACCCCCCAATACCCAGACCTGGAACCCTCGCTCACCTCAGCTGTTTCCCACTCGGACCAAGGCCAGCGGAGCATGGGCGCGGCGTGATGACGTCAAGGGCACGCTAGTCCCGCCCCTTTCTTTTCACAGGGTGCAAATTCTGCGGGCCTTGGCTGGGGCTAAAGGGATGATCCCGCCCAGTCCTTTTGAACACATCCCTTCTCTCTACCCAAACTCGGTTGGAAGTCTTCAGAGTTCACCCAGTTGCACTTATACTTTCCTACCAGGCACTCGACTGGTGGCCGGGAAGTTCCGATGTTTTACTATTCCCTTCTGTTTCCTGCTCTTTTGAGTACCTTCAAATCAAAGAAGTTTCCATTCGTCAGTCAGAAACTTTTTTTCCCTTCTGTTAACAGTCTCACACTGTACACCTGGCTAGCCTCTGCCTTTCCAGTGTTGGAGTTACAGACCTGACCTACAATAATTTCTAGCATCTCGTTGTACAGTGTAATATTTGCACACATCCAAGTAGCGGATAAACGGGATTTTGAATGTTTTTAAGGCAAAGATGTCGTTAGTGGATGGATACGCCAAATATCCTGATATGACTCTGTGTACACTGCAATGGCACATTCTATCTCATATGTATAATATGCGTGTCACAAATTTCAAGTTAATTAATAGGTGGGTGTGGTGGTACATGGCTGTAATCTCAGCACTTCGTGGCGGTAGAGATTGCAGTGAATTTGAGGCCAGGCTGGGCTACATAGTGACAGTTTGACTCAAATAAACACAGAACATATATTCATGCATATATACATAGGGCCAAGGATGTAGTTCAGTTGGTAAAGCATTTACCAATGTGCTTAAAGCCCTGCCTTAGACGCCAGCACTAAAACTTCATGTGGTGTGACATATAATCTCAGCACTGAAGGAGTGAACACAGGAGGATCAAGAGTTCAGGATCATCCTTGGCTACATGGTGAGTTTGAGGCCAACCTGGGCTACCAGACCCTGTCTCAAAAAAAAAAAAAAAAAAAAAAAGAAATCTGAAATATGAAGGGAGGGGAGTCTGCTATGTGAGGTCCTAAAGGATTCAGGTGATTTGTTGCAGGTTTCCTGATAAAGCCTCCTTACCAGGAAGACTGAGAATATATCAGGCAAATTGTGAAGAGGTAATGGCCTGTTGGAAGAGACTATGTGAGGATCAAATACAAACAATCTTGACCACTGAGCTATCTTAGCAGCTGGTGTTGGAAGACTTGAAAAATAAACATTCATCCAAAACATGACGTTAGAAATGTGGCTAAGGGAGCTGGAAACATGGCCCAGTGGTTGGGAGCTCTTCCAGAGGAGTAGGGTTCAATTCCAGCACCCACATGGCAGCTCACAACTGTCCGTAACTTCAAGATCTGACAACCACAGACATACATGCAGGAAAAACACCAATGCAGATTATAGGCTTAGATTTTTCACCAAACCTATTTTATTTAGGGTTCTTAAATGCTCTACCTCCCTTTCACCCTGATCCGAGGTAGGGGAAAAGGAAGGTTATTAGGTAAAGGGAGTTGTAGACCTTTTTAGAAGTTGTTCCTTGGATGAGTCCACTCTTCCTTGTCCAGATACCGGCAGTCCAGTCCAAAGGCCAACACTAAGCAGCAAAAGGAATCAGCGTGATTCAGAAGATCAGAACAAGTTAGCAAAAGCAGTAAGACTCAGCTGGATTGCCCTGAGAATTTCTCTGGAAAGTTTCTCTCTGTGAACTCAAGTGTCCAAACACGAAGATCAGTGCAGTGAAGTCAATCCAAAAAGCACTGTCTGTCTGTGGGCTTCTATATATCTTTTCTCCTCAGAGTTCACCCACAGATGTTTTCAGTTGGCCAAAGTCATGCCCCTTGCATGAGGCAGCTCAGAGCAAAACAACACATGCCCTCTCACAAGCTAGCCCCCAGCAAAACATCACAGTCTCAACTGAATCCTGAAAGAAACCAGAAACTTCCACTTTAGCACATTAAAAACAAAAAAACAAACAACAAAAAAAGAAATATGGGTAAATGGTCAGGGGCTTTTCTTTCATGCATCCTGTCCAGTAAATAATCCCTAGTATTACAATAATAACAATAAAATAAGGCATAAAACTATTTTTTTTCAGCAAACATTTATGGAACACATAGTCTCAGATTCTGTGCTAGATATTGTAGGGAAGAGATGAATAAAAGGGGAGCCTTACCCACAAAAGGCCCACAGTCTAATAGAGGCAAAGGAAAAAAAATACAACTATAAACTAGGTAGTAGGAGAGTATAAATACAGAGAACATTCCTTCACACACACACACACACACACACACACACACACACACACACAC